GAAGAGCGTTCTCCGTTTAGGACTTTTCGACAAGGGTCCTCTCCTCCCTCCCCCATTTTTATTAGGCCTTTAGGCTTTTTAAATTATACCTTTGCATATTCCATATATTTACAGTTCTCTTCTCCAACAAAGCCAAATGCCTATGAAAATTACGAATCACCGTCTTCCTATAAACACAGTAGTTATGCTCAAGATCACCATCGGTTTTCTCATTATCACCTCTCCCCTGGGCCACCTCACCGAGACAGCACAGGCCTGTTCTGTCCACTGTTTCCCCAGCACCTGATATAGGGCCTGACATGGAGTTGGTGCTCAGTGAAAGTGTGTAGATCAGCAGTACCTGCCCTGGTCCCACCCTGGCTGCTCCACGCCGGGCACTGCCCACGCCGGGCCCAGCCCTCTCCCTTTCTCCTCCTCCGGGGCTCATCGCACAAGCTTCTTCACTATTGGCTGGGTTTATAGCCAATCATTTTGGAGTTACATCATATTACATAAGTCTTTGAATAATACCCCTTCATCTTCTGGCACCCTCCAGAAAGGAAAAGATGAAAGTGTGACATAACTCATGCAGTGCCTTTGATAGATAACATCTTTCAAACTGTGGGTCCGGACGCAGAGGAAAACCTTGGTGTGTCCTGCACAGTGAAATGTGTGGGAAGCCCAGTCTGGTTCCACGAGAATCTGGCAGCCAGCAGCCTTGGAACCCGGCTTCCATTCATGAAACTACCTGGCCAAACCTTCCTGACAAATGTAGTGGCTCCGTCCCACGTGTTGTCCTTGGAGAGGACACAGGCCTAAACAATGTCTTCCTTTTAGGTCTCTTGGGAAACGCATCACAGTGTTGACCCTAGAGTTGGGTGGTTCATGGTACACGCTTTACTGTCAGAAAGACGTGAGCTTGGGTCCTGCCCAGCTGTGTGAATTCGAGTCAGTTTCCTCAAATATACGATGGAGATAGCACCGGCCTTGTGAAGTTCTGTAAAATGATAAAATCTGAAAACACTTAGAGTAGCTCCTGGTCTATCTATGTACTTAATAGCTAATCGATTCTATATGAGCTATGTGTCTAGAAATGTCTGGAAAAGCAAGGCCTGGGAAGCTCTCTGGAGCAGAATCTGCAATACTTTGCTTTAAAAAGGAGCTTTTTCTGATGCCCGTCAGAGTCTCTGTTGGGGGTCGCCTCATGGCAGCGTCACCTGTCCTGTGTCTTTGTCTAGCATTCTGTCTCCTCCTCATTTTAAACTCCAACCACAGCCAACTGGCTTAAAGGCCCATACTTTCCCTTTCTCCTTCCCTCAGCCATTGGAAGAAATCTACTCTGCAGGGGATTCTCTGATGATTCGGTTCCACACGGATGACACCATCAACAAGAAAGGCTTTCAGGCCCGGTACACCAGCACCAAGTTCCAGGACGCCCTGCACATGAAGAAGTAATGCCAATGCTCTTGAAAGACAGGAACCGAGAAGGTTTTGATAAAAATAGCACCTTGTGACTCCGCCCTAAAACAGTGTACAGTATTTTTCTCAAACAAAAGCCCAAAATCTAGTCTTGGAGGTATGTATTTGATGACGTTTGGAAAACCAGTTGGAGAGAAGATGTTCCTTTTATTCTAGCTGCAACATTATTAGTCACGGACTGTTAAGGAAGATTAAGGTTTGAAGTTGCTGATCATTCAAGTTATGCCAGTTATTACCTGTTCCCCGAGTCCCTTGCTCCTGTGGGGCAAAAGGCCAGACTTTGGGTTGGTCATTCCTCTATTTCTGAACGTGGTTCCTTAGGTGCCAGCAACGTGACCATGTCCTGGAGACTCAGGCTGTCTTGCATCTACACGGGGCAGTAAGGATAAAAGCTTGGCCATGGTTGATTTGTTACTCACAGCTTTGGCTGCAGACTTTTGCTTTCTCTCTGCCAGGGTCATGTCATCCAGGAAACCTGAGAATATGGACATCAGGACTAAAATAAGGAATCACAGTCAGCAACGCACAGAGGGAGCTTGAGTATGAGAACCATGTCACGAAGCTAGGAGACCTCAACCTTTTCTCTGTGTCATCAGGTCTCCCTTCCCTCTATGTGCTGTCCCTTCCCTAATTGCATCAGGAGGTGAAGGTGTCTGCTGTGAATTCCAGCAGAACATTTGCTGGTGAGGGTCCCCAGTTTGCTGAGAAGAAAGTCTTCTGGGTCCTCCTGACTCCTTCACTCAGTGGCTTTGAGAAGACTTCACCTGTGCTTGGGATTCTATGGGCTTAGAAGAACTCTTCTTCCTTCAGCTGTGGTGGCACTTGCTGTGGTTGACCTTGACTCCTTGACAACCAATTCAAACTGCACTTGCAAAGTGTGCAAAGACCTCTTGTGAGGGACCAGTTCAGGTCCCTCATGGGGTGAACACTGTTAAAAATGTTAATTATAAGTTATGTAAGAATCAACTCCTTGTGAAACAAGTCTACCTGTGGCTAACTTCCTGTAACCAGTCAGGTTAAAGAGTGCCACGGTGACTTTGCTCAGACTAACTAGTATACAGTCACCAGCTTGCAATCAGAATTCACCACTTGGCACTTGTTCTAGGAAAGTGTAGAGGATGTCGTTTACATAACTTTAGAACCTCCAGGTAAACGTTAAACAGTAAGATAGTTTTGAATGGCATTTCATTAAGGCATCTATGGGCATTACGAGCTAAAAGCTGTGGTATAAAGCTTTAAAAGAGTATTTATGTTGGAATAATTTTAAATAATGTTTACATAACTGTAAGTCCTGTTTGGTTGGTATTGAACACAGGACAGAGCACAAGAGTGTTTTCAGTGACAGCCTAGATAGCTCCCAAGCACCAGAATTCCTTTGGGATGAATCAGTATTATTTTAAAGTATTTGCAAAAAGTTAAAGGTTATATTTTTTGAAGATCAGAATATGTCCCCAGAGGACTATGTCTAATTAAAATGATTACTGGGAGTAAAAAAAGAAAAAGAAAAAAAAGAAAGAAAGAAAGAAAAGAAAGGAAAGAAAGAAAGAAAAAAAATACAAAGAAAGGTGAAAGAAATGATGGAAATATTTTTTCCTTAAAACAGAAAAAAAATCAAAGTATTATTATTGATAATAATATATGTCTGTATATATGTATGTATGTAAAGGATCAGCTGTCAGAGCCTTAATCAATGCAGCATGATAAATGCCAACCCACTGAGCATAGCTTTACAGAGCAGGTTGTCCCGGACTCTGTACAAAGAAAGGTGGAAGAAATGATGGAAATATTTTTTCCTTAAAACAGAAAAAAAATCAAAGTATTATTATTGATAATAATATATGTCTGTATATATGTATGTATGTAAAGGATCAGCTGTCAGAGCCTTAATCAATGCAGCATGATAAATGCCAACCCACTGAGCATAGCTTTACAGAGCAGGTTGTCCCGGACTCTGCCCTGCGTTTTATGCGTTTCCTCTCACCAAACTCTCTTGGCCTCTCTGGGCCCTCTATGGAGATTCAGCCTACATTTTCACATCGTGATATATCGCAGACCCTGCCCCAGGAGATCTCTGATTCAGCAAACGGAGCAGCTTGTCTGGTGGTTCGGGTCTCATCTGCCTGTTGGGATAAATTCCATCTCTCCAATTTTTGTATTTTCTGCGGTTTTCTTGTATCACATCTTATCACTCCGAGTCGAAACTGAAATCAAAATACAGGTGGTTATTAGGGGTCTCTCTCCAAAGACATGAAAAGTCTGTAGTTTCAACCTGTAGAAGTCTAAATAAGATTAATGAATGTCCTGGAAAAGCTGGAGGGAGTCAGAAACAGTCAGCTTTGCCTCATTATATGCCACGCTCTTGAAACAATGCTACTTATTTTTATCTTTCCAGTATGAGTATTTTCAAAAACACACTTGAACAGTTATCATCCTTTGGCCAATTTGAAACAATGGGATTCTTATGAAAACCTTTATTTATGCCTTCTGGGAGTGACGTATTCCCAGGAAAGACAAGCTCCGATTCAGCTGGGGCTGGCCTGACCGCTCCCCTGGAGGCTGACACGCAAAGCGATTCGTACACAAAGCAGGTTTTGCAAGGGACCACACAACTGCTTCACGAGAGAAAAGTCCATTCTGCAGAAAGACACAGGCCCCCTGCCTTGGCTCTTCTAGATGCTCAGTGACCTTCCTACGCATCCCTAGATGTAGATGAAGGAGCCAGGGGACATTGTTCCAGCCTGCTTTGTCCTTTAATTGGGTGCCAGGCTTTGGGGATGTCACAGAGCTCCAAGTACACGTTCAGTTCAGAGAATTATCTTGACGACTTGAGGAAATACTTGGAGTTGGGCCTTCAGCCTGGTCCAATTCTAGTGTAATCCAGTCTAGCAGAAGCTAGAACCTGGATCCCGTGGTAGAGTAAGGGTCTGGAATTAACTTCAGGCTGTGGAATTTCTCCAAACAGAGAAAATGAGGCTGTGTGTTGACTCACTGTAACTTTATTTTCTTCTAAAGTTCAGTTTCATATTACTCATGAAATGCTCAGCCTGTTTAAATCATTTGCAAAATCTTGTTAACCGGCAAATTCGCGCTGGGATTTGCCATTGATCTGGTCCCTTTGATAAGTCTCAGATATGTTGTGGAGACGGTTTGGAAGAAGAGTCGGAGTCTGGAAATGTGTAACTTACATGGATAAAGGAGAGGAGGATGGACAATACTGGCCACCGAACTCCTATCTCCATGGCCTTTTATTAAGTTTCACAACAATGCTGGCTTTGTAATTTAGTAATAGTTACTATCAGGTTAGTAGATACAAGCTACAGCCAACTCCCAGATTCAGCCTCAAAGCCACCTCCGTGTTCTCAGCTATTTCCTCTCAAGTATCTTTGTCTTATCCTCTTAAGTATCTTTTTCTAGTCCCTAGAGCACGAAGTCTCAGAATCGGTCAGGTGTATGCGCCCTCCCTGCAATGTGTCCTTGTGTGCAAGTCCACATCTTCTTCCGTTGTTCTTGTTGCTCCAAGCACCAGAGGACCACATCCAGCATCTGAAACCGAAGGTCACAGCCCTTACAAGGTGGCCCGTGCTCGCTCACTCACACTGTCTCTCTCTCTCTCTCTCTCTCTCTCTCTCTCTCTCTTGCCTCTGGAAGCCACTCCTTCAGGCCTAAGGATGGTAGTGACATTCTGTAGGCCTAACCCTGGGGTACTGCATTATATACTATTTTCTTATAAATTATCCTTTTAATAAACCCTCCTGAAGTACAGCAAATTGACTACATCACTCATTTCCTGTGGGGACTCTGATGATACAGCGTCATTTCTAACACAGGACAGAGATCCATCTCATCAAGGACAGTCTCTTAGCTTTACCAGATGAAGAGGCTTCGGGGTATGTTTGGGGTTTCATGGGTTATATCAGGGAGGATAATAGGGGACCATGTTTTTAAAAACACTCAGTCTTAATGCAGAAGTATATATCACATGCAATGGTTTTTTTGCTATAGAGCATCAAGGTTTATTAATTTCTTCTTTTTGCAGTCACCAGCACTAAAAGATGAGCCCCAGTGGTCCAAGATTATGACTGCTCGATGTGTCAGTCAGGATAGGTTAGCTTATGCTGCAACAAAAACTTCCTCTCAGTGATTGTACATAAAAAGGCTTATTTCTTGTTCATACTACATGTTCATTTCTAGTATCTGGAAGCTCTTCCATGTCATCCTCAGTCAGGACAGCACCGGGCTGATAGAGCAGTCACCATCAGGAGCGTCGCTGATTCCTATGTCAGAGGAAAAGAGTATGACAAATCACACACTGGCTTACAATGCCTGTGAGTGACATATAACTTCTACTCCCATGTTATTGGCCAAGGCAACTCATATGGCTACTTTTAACTTCAGGTGAACAATAAAACAAACTAGAAATATCTAGTGAACCCCACTGATGACTCTCATGTGTGACATTCATGGGTAGGGAAATGACCAGAATCCTTCTGTTTGTTTTAACATTTTACTTCATCACTACTTTTTCACTGACATTTTAGGTAAAGATTTTTAAAAGCCAGAATAAGGCCACCATTTAGAATGGACCAGCTTTTTAAACTGACCAATTGTTGCCTGGCAGGCCATCAGTGTGGTTGGGCTTGTATAAATTTGAATGGTGGCAAATTACTAACCTCTCACCCACTAAGGGCTTTCCTTCTGCAATTTCTAAGGAGATAATTCCCAGGTCTGATACCTGCGGAGGAGGCGAGCCCCCTCACTTCACCCATTCCCTCTTCTTCGGTTGATGCCATCAAGTTCCTTTTGCAGAACCACCTGCAGAACCACCTGCAGAACCACCAGGTCTCATGCTGGAGACCGCCATTGGGCAGACCATCGGCCAGGTTGCAGGTCCTCTCTGGGCACACGACCCAAGCCAGATCAATCAGATCTTCTTCCTGCAATTGGAGTCTTGAGCAAGGGGCAAAAGGGCTGAGCTATTTTAGAGCTCGCTTTCCCTGGGAGGACCTCCCAAGAGGACTGTCTCGGCCTTCTTGCTGCTGAAGCCTTGGGGACGACCTAGCACCGCCTTCCCAGAGCCTGGTTCCCTGGCCCTCTATCCCTTCTGTGAGCTCCCATATCCTTAACCAATAAATTCTACTTCTTAAATTAATCAGATGCTTGTGACCAGAGAACCATGACTGACCCAGACACTTAGGCCAGGGCACCACTGACTAGAGATCATAGCAGTTCTCTAAAGGAATAAAATGTCCATCGGAGGGAAAATTGGTGACCAGTGGATGCATAGCCAACAAAAAGCATCAAAAAGGATCTTACTGGCCTTGCCCATCCACAGACAGCCTAGCCGGAGGGGACTGGGGCCATGAACTGGAGTTCCTTGTTCCAGTTACCTGGTCCAGGTGTGATTCTATGCCCACCAAGCAAAGTGAGAAACATAATTTGTACCAGCTGTTTTAAATAATCCAGTCATTGCTTTCATAGCTTGGGACTGAGGCTGGTAGGAGTTACTTCATTTGCCTAAGACCACACAGCTTCCCGAAGAGCAGCTAAGGCTTTAAACACAGGTCTCTCTGAACTACGTCCCGTGACATATAGACACCAGTAGATTCAGTTTAGGCATCACCGAGGAGTCTTAGGAACTGGAAGCCCCATGAGGCAGAGACCACGTTGCTCTTGTCTGGGACAGTATCTCAGAGCTGGATCCCATGCCCCAAATTCGTTTTTCCGGTATTACCCACCTAAACAATTGAGTTAGTCAAGCCCCAAACCCAGGAGTCGGCTTCATCTGCTCTTT